AGCCAGCTTTCTTTTTGCAGCTGCTACCACGTTTATTACTAATCCATTCTCTGTAGGACTGACCAAGCCAACACTGAAATCAATCTATAATAAGCATTCAAAACAGGCGACACTGAATCACCTGCTTGCACAATAAACAATAAATAAATTGAACAATGCAAAGGAGATATAGGCGAAGCATCAGACATGTTTTTACTCTTTGCCTACCTTTTCCATGTTGTGTAACCCATGCTGTACTTCGTTGTTATGGCTCTTGAATGAAATATCAAATCAGGCAGATATGACAACCAAATCTCAAACATGGGAAGAAAGACAACCAATGTCATCTTGATTGGTTGCAACAGATTTCATGAAACACATGATGTAACAGGTAAATAAAATTAAAGCAAAATCTTTTGATCTTGACAAGTGATAATCTTTTGTTGAAACGCTATAAATGATGTTCCACTCAAACACAAGCGTGCCTACCCTCCTTCATTGTATCAATAACCAGCAACATTTGACAACCCGGTTTTGATCTTGTAATATATATGCACCTATAGCGTAGGTAGGTAGGTAGGTTTATTTAATTCCTCCAGGTTTGGAGATACAAAATATATTGAATATTAAAAGATTAGCGACAAGTGTTGAAATTTTATAATAGATTAATAAGGGTTTTTAAACAGTGTAACTGGACCAGTTGATCCCAGTTGATCCAACCAGTAGCAGCAGTTCAATGTCATACATGTGACGTCCGAGCAGCACTTCGGTCAGCGTTCTCTGTTCTATATTGTCTAACAGAACATGTGTGTAACACCCTGGATTGCTATAGCGTAGGCCCCGGCCTTGACCTTAACCTGCCCCGCACTGAGAAGAGTCAGCGATTTGATGGGACATATTTTAATTTTAGCCAATGAGCCCCCTTGCTCTTTTAAGTGCGGGGCAGGTTAAGGCCAAGTTAATCAAAGGCGAACTGGCACGACACAATTCTGTTTGCGATGAATAAATGTACGTAAACTCATTATGACAGTTAGATGTAAGTGTCGCCGAAAGAATGGCGATTAGCGTAAGAATGTTTTGGTGGATGTCGTATGTGTATACTGTGAACTACTGACTGACTGAGTATGGTTTTACGCCGTTTTTAGCAATATTCCAGCAAAATCACGGCGGGGGAACCCAGAAATGGGCTTCACAAATTGTACCCATGTGGGGAATCGAACCCGGGCATTGTTGAATTCGCCCTGAAACGAACTGCGGCGTAAAACTAAACTCACTCACTCCATTCAGTCGTTTGTGTTCGTCATTGGTCTTGCTGTTACTCTTTTCACCATCCAGTACACAATTCAGTTGCCAGTCGTGTTGACATCTGCAACCAATGATCTCATGCGAGTCCTTGGTGAAGTCTCGGTTGTCATTAGCACTTTGAGACTAATTCGTGATGATGACATTGTATGCAAAGAGTTGTTCAAAGAGGTCTACGATTTGTAAAGCTAATATGGTATGAGTGAGTGAATGAGTGAGTTGAGTTTCACGCCGCACTCAGCAATATTCCAGCTATATGGCGGCGGTCTGTAAATAATCGAGTCTGGACCAGACAATCCAGGGATCAACAGCATGAACATTGATCTGCGCAATTAGGATACGTTGAAATGTTTCAAACCAGTCAGCGAGCCTGACCACCCGATCCTGTTAGTCGCCTCTTACGACAAGCATAAAATCAATGCTCTATCACACTCCACAAAATGAAATTCTGACAACTGGGATTGCAGATCACGTACCCCTCTAACACGTGGAAACTGACATGTCTATAACAGGCGAAAGCTAAGAATTCAAAATGGCAAATAGAAAGGGGTAAAACGTAAGAGATGTTATATTTGGGTTTACACTCACTCACTCTGTTAAGTACAAATTCTAGCACTGAATACAGACCATATAACACAGTGCTATTTTCATCACTTATCTATTTGTGCCAGTATTCAAAAGTAATCAACAGTTGCCACAGCTTGTGTTTTTATCCATCGCCGCGCGTTTAGCGCGAAGCGGGGGGAATATAGTATTAGGCTCCGTCCGTACGTACGTACGAATTGAAATATCTTAACCACCGTTGACTAGATTCTTTTCATATTTGGTATTCTAGGTTCATCACAGTATAAGAAAGGTCCCAGTCAGGTTTGGTGACCTTGACCTTCATTTCAAGGTCACAAGGGGACTTTAACGTTTTACTCTTGTCAGCAAGATATCTAAAGAGCCGTTCACTTGATTTTCTTCATATTTGACACCAAGCTTCATCTAGGGAAAGTGCAAGGCCCACTTTCACTTTACCTTCACTTAATGTTCAAGGTCACAAAGACACTTTGAAGATTTCAGCATGTTAAATTGCATGTTATGATAGTCAGCAAGATATCGCAAAAAACATTCACTGGACTTTTTTCATATTTGACACAAAACTTCATCTAATGAAGGTGCAGGGCCCATTTAATGTTGGTGATCTTCACATAATTTTCAAGGTCACTGCGACACTGAAGATTTCAGCATGTTAACCTGAATTCACTGGATTTTCTTCATAGAGTTCCCTTGAATGTTTATCAATAAGCAATTACCTTTGTACCATTTTTGCATATTTCATACACTGACATTCATGTCAAGGTCAAAGTCAGTCTTGAAACTACGCACTTGTGTGTTTGAAGTACTGAAGAGAAGATATCAAGAGAGGTTGACTGGTCATGTTTTTGTTGACATTTAACTTCATTTTAAACTTTCATTACTTTTTAAGTTTGATTTGATAATTTGCGGCGGGGGATTATATCACCTTACTGACAATGCTTGTCTAACAAGTTTCAACAGTTTCAAGGTACTTCTCCAAGAGGATTAGTTACATGTACATATGTTTTGAGTACAGTTTACCAATTGTATGTCTCATTTAACTTCATCCACTTTATCGAACTTTCATGATATTTTTTACAGTTTGATTTGATAATTTTTCAGTATGATCAGAGGTGATTATATTGGGTTTAACGTTGTGCCTGACAATGCTTCGCTCATAACAAGTTGCAACAGTTTCAAGGTACTTCTGCCAAGAGTAGCCCAGACTACATATGTTTTGATACAGCTTTACTGAGATACCATGTCGCATTATCTACTTCTATCCACTTATATCGACCCTACAGTCCTTGTTTACCAATTAATGCCGAGCGCCAGGCAGGGACCAATAAGTACCATATATTAACGTCTTTTGGTATGACGCGGTCGGGGATCGAACCAGCGACTTTCCGCTCTCCGGGCTCAGCATGATCAGAGACATACGAACAGCTTTAGAAGCTGGTTTCAAGTGTTTACTTACTGCTCAAGTAAACACTTGTGTTTCTGCCCTACCTTGAAATATATCCTACGCCTTAAGAATCAGATGAGTTGCGGGTGAGCTATGCCGCACGTTTAGCGCGCGTATGCGCTGTGCCTGCTACCCTTGTCTCCTACGCCACCCTATTAAGATGTCAACCCATGAAGATCCAGGTTAGAATTGATCTTTAGTAACCCATGCTTGTTGTAAAAGCATTACTATCAATCAACAGATTCTTCTGGTCTTTGCGTAAACATCATAACTCAAAACTGGTGCATGAATACATATCAACCACACACTGACAAAAAGACGTGCGCGATTGGGAAATAAACGTTAATACAGGTAATGTCAGTTTTCAGTTTCCAATTAAGTAGACCCGTGAAGGTCCGGGTTAGAGTTAGTGAGTTTTAGATTCCAGCAATATCACGGCGGGGTAACCAGAAATGGGCTTCACACATTGTCGTAAGAGGCGTGACGAGCAAACGCCTTAACCACTAGGCTACCTCCACCGCCCCTCCAGGTTGGAATATTGATCTTCAGTAACCCATGATTGTCGTAAGAGGCGACTAAAGGGATTGGGTGGTCAGGCTCGCCGACTTGGTTGACACATGTCATCGGTTCCCAAATGCGCAGATGGATGCTCATGCTGTGGATCACTGGATTGTCTGATCCAGACTCGAGTATTTACAGACCGCTGCCATAATACAGCTGGAATATTGCTGAGTGCGGCGTAAAACTAAACTCACTCACTTAAAATGTCCACTTGTACTCTTAACAACTTGAACAACTTTGCCAGTGGTTGGTATAACAAACAGTAGCGAGTAAGAAACTGTTGGATTGCATGCATTGCCATGTAAATTCTTAACATTTCCCGATTATTCCCCATTTTTGAGTTATTTTGGAATTCATTCATCGTTCCGTATTTGGAGACAAACATACTGTAAGTGATAACCAATTAACTGGTTCTGATGCAATCGCAAAATGCTAATGTTTTGACTGATTTTGTAATCTGTATCTGAGTGGTATATGTGATTCACACGTAAATTGCGAATCCATTATTGAGCTTTCATATGTTTTTCAGTATTTGCAAATGCCCATGCTGACATGTCGATGAGATTTGCTATTTTGTCGCCAACATCTGCAAACTGTACATCCGCTGACTGGTTTCAGTTATATCCCGGGCGTTTCACTGGACCCACACAGCCTAGCACATTCTAAGCCTATTTTACGTCAAGCCCCCTAACAACTGTCCAGTTATAGTCAGTGATAAAATATATGCTAGTTTTGAATGCCTCACTCAGGACTTTTCCAGCTATTTGATTACGGGTTATACATAACCGCGTATAATAGCTGGAATATTGCTGAGATCTGTGTAAAACAAAAAAAAATCAAATTAAACATGAGAGCTTTGTATTAAGGTTGGCGTTTTAAATTCAGCCAATTTCGACTCCAAACAGGGTATGCGACGAAACGCATCGGAAAGTCAAGAGCGCTGATTTGATCGTTAGTGTGTCATATCTGTGTGTGTTTCGATTGCATTAGGCCGGAGAGCCGTTGTACGACAATGGTGAAGGTTTTGACAGCGGCAGTGTGGTTCCCACCGTTGATATGGTCGTTGGTAATAATATGGAGTCAGCACGCGTCAGTATCACTGTTCCATAAACATGGTAAAGAACAAACACAATTTGGAACCCAAATATATTGTATCCATTGAACATATTTATTCTGCTTAAGTCAACCTTGTGTCTTATAGACCTTGACATGTACAGTAAACGGGACAAAGCTTTACAGTGTAAAAGCTGGATATATATATATACATTCCCGACACTGTAGACAAATCTGAATATATACTCATGGGAACGAATACGGGAACTCCTGAAAGTACAAGTGTTCCTTTATTTTGTTCCAGAATTTTACCCACCGTGCAATACAAAGCTTGTCAAGGAACCTGCAAAAGAATAAGGGAACACTTGTACTTTCAGGTGTTATGTAAAAAATATTTTTTGGAATGTGTTTGACTTTTTCTGTTCCGGACCAGACACATCAGGAACAGCGTCCCACACGGTACCCGTAAAATGGCAGGTATGCAACTAAGACACCGATATTGGCCACCCAAACCACGTCCGTACACCATGACCATAATTTAGTGCAATCACCTATGGGTATGGACAAATCTGCGTGTTGGCCCATAGGTTTTGCATTGAGCCCCCGGCGAAAGGTATACCCAGGGCCGAAGGGTCTCATAGTTGCAGCCAAACTCTCTATAACTTGATCCTATTGCACTGTAAAAACTCTGTCACCCAGGAACAACGAATATAACTGAGTACAAAAATACAAGTCTCGTTAAAATAAAATCTCTTCGAAATGATGAAATTAGCTGTTTCAAGCAAGTTACCCAAACGGTTTTTCAAGAAGTACCATGGCTTGTTTGGCAAGATCTAGAATTGGAACACCCACATCCTTCATGATATCACCAGCAATGACGCGAAGGCTGGTTTCAATGATGATCTCAAATACCACAAAACCTTCAGTCAAACTGCGCGCGTTGTGCAAGTGGCTCACTAAATGGTGTCGCAGTGATGTCGCGTCCCTTCCGAAAACGTCGCAAAAATATCTCAGGCCCCGTTGGCATTTGACAGTTGATGCAACTGTGAGAAGAGAGACGTGTGTATTATCTGCCCTTGACTGCAACGCAAATGAGTCTGGTGGCACCATGTACTTCAAATTGGCAGGCAGGAGGTCAAGAGGCAGCCACGCCACTACCATTTTGCCGTCCGGAAATAGTTCCTCGCATGATTCCTTACAATCTAAAAGTAACTTCATGTCCGCAGCCGTGAATGTTTTGGGACGATCGTCAGCAGATATCACGGGTAGATTTACATCTGTTAATTTGGTTCCATAGTTGAGGGTTTCCTGCAGTGGCGGAAAATAGCAATGAAAAAGCAACATCTGATTTGTTTGTTGTTAAACGTTAGCAATAGTTCAGATGTATGACGGCAGCCTTGACAGATAAGCCAGTGGTAAATACTGTTCCCCCATATCACCCATCAAGCAGCCACCGAGCATGATAACCGGCATTGGTTATCCGGGACCAGTTCCAACAAGGAATCCCCACCGATTTCTATACAAGTAATGGAACCTTGTTATCGAGTCCAGTACATAACAGGTTGCGCAGATCGATGCTCGGATGTTGATCACTTGATTGTCAGGTCCACAGTAGATTATTTACAGACAGCCGCCATATAGCTGGAATATTGCTGAGTGCGGCGTAACACAACAACCAAGCAAGCAAACAAACATATCAGGAATAAGCATATACAAAGAGATCCAGAGTAGTCGACAATTACGAATTATATTCTCGATGTAAACGTTATTTTAACAATCTTCAGTCATTTTGAAACACAATCATAAACGAGGAATGTCATGTATATATCCATACATACCTTCTTTGAGATAAACGTGTGCGTTTTCTTTAAGCCTCCGTTCTTCTCATAGTTTACGTTGTTAGTCGTCATGACGTCACGTTTTATGGTGTCCGTGTCTGTGAAATCATCGTAGACATGCTTCAGAAGACGGCCATAAATCCCTTGGCCTCGGAAGCCGTCCTTGACCCTGCTTCCTCGCATAAGGAACGTCGTCCCGTTATCGATGATGTGCGGACTGCAGAATCCAACCTGTAGCCGTGAGTATATGTGTCATGGCATGTCAGATACTGAGGTGGCAAAGTCTGCAGTGACGTTACTGTCGTATTTTAAGTGCCCACCGTCGACAGGTTTTACTCTTCAAAATGTTTTCATTTTTTATTGTATAAATTTCGTCACGATATGGTTGGGATATTGCCGATGTGACGTTAAATATTACCTCACTCACTCACTAAAGTGACGTAGGCCTAACACATCTTCACAACTGAGGTAAGCCAGGATATAGTGGATATAGTGTCAAGTGAAATATGATTGCATTATCTACGTAATAGTTTCACGAATGACTTATTATATATTAGAACTGATACAGTTTCAATATTGATCCATGTAATTTTTGCAATATTTATTCGAAAAATTTGATTGTCAAGATACACATTCTCCCAACTGTAAACTAAAGACTTTTTACTTCTTTGTTCAGCTCAGCGCACAGATAAGTGATAGTTCAATATTCGAAAATAATATCAAAACCGGGTGGAGACATATGTGTATCAAATGTTCTTATTGTCATTGTATGATTAAGAGAAACACTAATATCAGCATTACTATCAATCAAAAGATTCTTCTGGTCCTTGCGTAAACGTCATAACTCAAAACCGGTGCATGAATACATATCAAACACACACTGACAAAAAGACGTGCGCGATTGGGAAATAAACGTTAATACAGGTAATGTCAGTTTTCAGTTTCCAATTAAGTAGACCCGTGAAGGTCCGTGTGAGAATACTGATCTTCAGTAACCCATGCTTGTCGTAAGAGGCGACTAACGGGATCGGGTGGTCAGGCTCGCGACTTGATTGACACATGTAATCGGTTTCCAATTGCGCAGATGGATGCCCATGCTGTTGGTCAGTGGATTGTCTGGTCCAGACTCGATTATTTACAGACCGCCGCCATATAGCTGGAATATTGTTGAGTGCGGCATAAAACTAAACTCACTCACTCACTCACTCCAATCAAGTAAAATAAAGTCACTTGTACATTAACTGTCAAACTCAAGTGTTCTGAAGGTAAACTTCTACGAAGCGGGGAGTGGATTCAACACAGTCATTCACTCGCTCAATGACTGCACACTGAATGACTTGGCGATTAGCTGAACAGATGCATTTAATGAAATGCATATGTTTAAATTGGCACCCTTATAATATTTGATATGCAGTAGCTAGTATGTCAGATGTATTCACTTAGTCTTCTGGTCCAACCTTTTAGTAGAAGAAACTACTGGCAGCGTGCCGCTTTACACGTCACTAAACGAAAGTAGAACTCTCTTAGATGAAAAAATGATGGTACTAACGATTTCCTCGCCGACAAGGTATACGTATGATCTGGCATTCGGGTCGTCAATGAAGGTGTGGTAATGTTGTGGAAGATAGTCCAGTCCGAAAAGGACATCCCCAATATCCATGACGGCTTGGAAATCATCTGCTGTAGCCCGGCGTATGTGATGCTTGGACATCTTAGGCTAAAATGTAGTTCTTTCAACCTGGCGAATTATAGAGAACCGGTTAGATGGACAACGCTTTGGTTCAGTGTTGAAGAAATTACTGCGCCAAAAGATGATCGGGTGAGTGAGTTAAGATTTACAGTCACATCGGCAATATTTCAGCCATATCGTGACTAAAACAAGTTTAGAATTCATCATAAATAGATGTAAATTATAAAACCTGTCATCGAGGGACAGTAAAACCAACTAGAATATCACAGTATCATGAAATAGAACTAGCGTCTCTCTCTAAAATTGGATTTCAAATAAGGGCAATACAATATAAAAATAGGTCGCCAACAACCGAGATGATGATCGGGTATCAACAAGATGGTCGAGTTTTGATTGACCAACATTCCAACAATCTGTAGTGCTGGATACGAGGACCCACTGTGATATAGGTCACCGAACCGAGGGGATATAACAATATATTGTTCTTGACCTGCTACCGAGCTTTCCTTACACCTACCTATATACCGATATGGGAAGGGTACACACTTTACTTTCTCATGTCAACATCTTGATACGTTGACTTCAGCAATTCAGCAATTGATATTTTGTTTTGAAATACCCTGCTGAATCCGCCTTTGTTATCTTCAAAAGTCCTACATCGACCTTGCTGCATAGTAGTCGATGACCCAAGCTGATAGTCAGATATAATCGGAGTGAAGCGTTTTCCGTGCCTAAAAAACCTCCTTTCATGTGCTAAAGATTTCGTCTCCAGTTCACACAATTACATATAACAAAGAGCAAATCTGCTCGTTCGGGGAAGACGAATCATTGTTACAACACTCACCTATTGTTTCCCGGAGGTTGGTCTGGTCTAATAAACTTAACCCGCCGACCTAAATAGAATACTCAGTATGAGCCTACCAGTCTCGGTGTAGAGGACGTGATCTTATATCTGACACAGTTTAATAAGTAGGCTAAACAAATATATCCCTTGTATGAAGTGGTCTGAAGTGTACACATCTCTCTTATTGCTTGTTGCTATTGTTTGCTCTTTGCAAACATTGTGGAAGTAACTATTGTACTCAAGGCGAGTTTAAAATCGACTGCAAAAGACAGATGTTCACGTGAGATTTATGTTACGGATTAGAAATCACCGTGACAAAAAGTCGTGTGAGTTCCCATTAAACCAGCAAAATAGAACACAGACAAATTTATGTCATCAACAATATATACAACAAAGTAACAAAGTATGGGAACACCCTAAAATTTGACAGTCATATATAAACTTAAACGTGGTGAGGTCATTTATACTCTAAGGTAAATGCAACTTTTTGTGTGCTTAATGGGCACTTTAAACGACATGTTGGAACATGCAGTGAAACAACTGATTCAATATTCGTTGAGTTTGAGTGAAATGAAACATTGTCAAAAACAGAGAAAAACAAGGGTGCTGAAACATCAGTGTAACTATTATAACCATTGTTGGGCTGATATATCCGCGACAAATGTTCATGTTTGCATAGCAATTGCCCCAAGTACAGTTTCTTTTGGTGTAACTGGGGCGGTAAGGTAGCCTAGTGGTTAAAGCGTTGGCTCGTCACGCCGAAGACCCGGGGTCGAATCCCCACATGGGTACAATCTGTGAAGCCCATTTCTGGTGTCCCCCGCCGTGATGTTGCGGAATATTGCTAGAAGCGGCGTAAAACCAAACTCAGTCAGTCAGTTTGCTGTAGCTGTGGCAGTCTGATGGCGCAAATGGCATAATCAGATGTACGGATCATGAGTTGTGGTTGTGACGCCGGTCGCGTGTCTTTCCAAACAATCCCAAAGATTTAAAATCGCGCTCTGATGAATGCAGGATCATGTGTATTGATAAAGTATTTTTTTTGTCGCTGATACTGCTCCTTGATAATCATCGGTTTGCTGACGTTGCCACTGATGTGTCGACATGCATGTTGAGTCAAGGCAAAACGACATTGAGATAGTATCCAAAAACTAATACTTCTTTATACTGTAGTAGCGGATATGGGTGAATGTAGGTGGGTGGGTGGAGCGCACACAACACAACGCTACTCGTGGTCACAGAGTATTTTATTTATCCATTCAGCGGAATGTTTGAATAACTCTGAAAATATACATAAATATAACTAGGTATTTGAGCATAAAGGCATAACATGGCTTACATATACATGTATTACACTTTCTATATCGTCTTAGAATACAGTTAGCCCAGACAAAGCATGTACTAGCGTAAATACATCTTTAAATATAAATAGCAACATGAAAACTATTCATACATACATATATCATTTATGACATTCAATGAATATATTACAAATATACATGAAGAAAATATATAGAGTTTATTACATACAAGATAATAAAATACACTTACCACTGTGTGGCAATGAGTGTACACAAGCTCTCATGCAGTCAAGGATCAATCATCATCACGGATCATTCTAAGAAAAGTTAAAATACAACCTTGATAATACTAATAATGGTATATAAAATAAGTTATAATAAAAGCAACAAATCTCACATCCACCGTCACTATTTCATACCACATTCATACGATTATACATTTACACAATATGTTGTCATAATTTAATTTTAATTAGGTTTAGACTGGTATTTACCTACCGCATACGCCATGTTTAATGTAAATAGCTAATTGATATTTAATGATATAATTTAGATAAATTACACACCCAAGCAACTGTACTGATGGTTGGAAAACAATAGATACATTTAACTACACACCGATGCATTAATGTAACACTTCTTTAAGAAATACACTATATACAATACCATATATACACATACAATATATGCACTGACCTGAATAATAAGATCCTCATTACAATCCAGAAATGTTCCACGAAAACACAAATCGTAGTGATCTGATCCTTTAGAAAGATCTATGTGACTGCCAACAGGTTATGTGTGACAGCCACCTTTAAAACTAAACAGACAAAAGGTGGCAAGCTGACCAGAGAAACTGAGGCAGAGGGACAAATGAAGCTTGTGCAGAGTGTAAGTGCATGGGTCAGAACCTGGCCTGACCGAGTAGGGTGGCTATTGTTAATTGAGTAATTGCATAAGTGCAGGGATACATTTAACTGTGAGGGTTTGTTATATTTTATCTGTAAACTTAAAATCTGACACCTAACCAGTATACAATAATCATATACAAGTACTTAAAATTGAAACTTATAAACTTTGAAACTAATAATGATTAAAACATGACTTGGCCGCAATACCTCCTGAAACTACCTATCATTTTTTTAGGTACAAATGGCTCCTTTTTGTCACCATCCTGTTACAATACTTTCGATGTGCCGACCTTCCAAAATGGGCTTTTGCGGTATTTACAATGAAATATTAAAACAGCAAACCTTCTTACCAATGAAATATGTTTGATTGCGTGACATCTCAACATGACGACGTGGAGTGAGTGTGTGAGTGAGTAAATGTTGCTTAAATGTACATCAGCAAGATGAATGTGCATCAGCAAGATGGAAACGAATATACAATAAAAGTGATCACTAAAACTTCAGTCCACTATCACAGTAAACAGTAGGAACTGACATTCAGAATTTAAAATGACATTTAGAATTTTACCTAAAACCTATTGTATCAATCCAAGTAAAGCTAAATTCAAACTCCTCATGTCATCATCAGAATGTAAACTTATAAATAACTTAGCTAGCTTTATCTATCATGCAATGTATTTAAGATGTTAAACATTATCAATCTATACTGTACACACCATGCTTTGCCATGTACGTGTAACCTATGTAGTTATGGGCCGATGGCCTACACTTCTGTAATAAAGAATTGAATTTATAATGTACATCTTAAAACATAATTTAATTTCTTTCAAATATATTATTAGTAAACGATTAGAATCGATATTGAAAAGTTCAGATATAGTTTAAACTGTATTAAGTTGGCAATGGAACGAAACATCAACACATTCCAACAAAGGTGCTTGAGAGTCAAAGTACTTCGCCATGGGTAACATTGAGAGACATTTTAAAATTTCAACGTAACAGTTGTTCGAATATCAGTTGTCTGCAGGCAGGGCCAACTATCTGAAAATATATTGAATCTGCTTGGTTGCAGAGCTAACAGAATATCCTTGGACTGTGCCTTAAGAATTTAACTTCCATCTGTTAATCGAAGTGATGGAGTGTCATCATAAGTAACAGCTACAGCTGGCACACTGTCCCTGTCCTCTGACCTGTCAATGTATATATTCGTATAACCTGAACATCTTTGTTTAGTTTTCATGGACGGTTGTCTTTCATAATTCATCAACCGAAGCGGTTGATATAACAACTCTTATAATAATCGTATGTTTTAATGCTCGATCTGGACATTTACATAATTACATCATAGACGCAGCTCACGCAATATCCCAGCGAAAGATGAGGTGAGGTGAAATTGGGTTTAACGTCGTGCTTTAGAATATTTCACTCATATGACGACGTGTATGCGTGTGTATGTGTATGTGCGGCTGCTTGTACTAGCCAAGACTTAAGCTGGTTTTATAGTGCTAGCTCACTGAGATACCATGCCGCAGTGAAGCATGAATATCCCACTCAGACACATTATACTGACTCTTAGCCGACCAGTCTTTGATGTACCCATTAATGCCGAGCGCCAGGCAGGGGCCAACAAGTACCATATTTTAACGTCTTTTGGTATGACGCGGTCGGGGATCGAACCCGCGACCTTCCGCTCTCGAGGCGGACGCTCTAACCACTACACCACGGAGGCGGTCCCCAGCCGTAGAAGCTAGGTCAAATGAGGCCGATACCTTTCAGAGACAGAAATAACAAGGATAGTGTAATTAATGGATATGGAGTACATATTATGAACGGAAGGAGTTTTAGTGAACCCCAGTGCGATGTTACGTGCTGCTCAGGAGGTGGAGCTTGTGTAGTTGATCTTTGTCTGTGTTCAATTTTAGTCTTATAACTAGATATGAGTCTGATAATATTTTCATTAACTATAAGCTGAAGAGGATGTAATGGTGAATGTTTCAAATATTGGCAAGTTACTGAATCACAGAGATACAGATGGAATCATGAATCAACTGAGATATATAGAGGATTTTTAGAAGAGAAACTAACTAGTTATTCTATTACTGAATTCCCTACTAATGTTGTGTGTGACATAAAGTTTGTCATGAGTGACGATGAGTGAGTGAGTGAGTTAAAATTTAAAGTGACATCGGCAATATTTCAGCCATATCGTGACTAAAACTAGTTCTAAATTTATAATAAATACAGATAATATATACTACCCATTAAAAGTTTAGACTTGCTGGTACAATATAGCCACTTACTTCAGGCAACTGTTCTAACCTAGATTTTGCAAAATATGCCATACCGTTTAAAGGTACTGTTTACGCATGAACTGATGTATTGTAAAACAAATTTGTAATGTTGAAAAGATTATTGTCATGATTTCAATAAATGATGAAACTCTGGGAAAATTGGCGAATTCTTAACAAAACTTTATACCAAAACGCAGCTGTTCTCATGCACATTATTTGCACACACTTTTCAGCAATTTGATGTGTGACCCTCATGCAATTCATCTGCATAAAGTTTGCAGCTGGTTTCCACCAGATAGTTGAGAAATTCATCTTCGATGTAACCATATATAAACAACATATAGTTAGTGCTTTAAGTGAATCTAAACTTTTGATGGGTAGTATATATAACCCTGTCAACGAAGGACAGTAAAATCACTAGGAGTGACGATGAAATCGGTAATGCTATGACAAGTTTGAAAAATGGAGTGTTATGAAACCGTGTTGATAAGATATATCTCCATAATTTTTTATATAATCTTCAGCACAGATTATTTTCGGGACGAACGATCAACTGGGCTTATTAAACCTATACATAAGATCACGAAAGGATGCTTAAAA